TGTTGTGACATTTAAGCCTGTCCTGCCTGGGTGCTGCCGACACCCTAGATACCCCAGGCAGCCGTGGCGATGGAAAAATTCCTTGAGTAAACAGAGATCGCTGGACTCAGGTTGCTCCACGCGGGGTACCAGCCTCAGAGGTGTGCTTCTTTGGGGCTTCCTGAGGGCCGGGCAGGGTGTCGCAGGTGGAGGCCTGCCATGGGCTGCCCGGGGCAGATGTCCTGTCAATGGCACCAGGCACTACGAGCTACCACTGAGCATGACCTGTGCTTTCCTGTCGCACAGCTTTAACGACCTCTCTGAGCCCCTTCCCTGTGCCAGGCATGCTCAGTCCCTACAAGGCCATGGGAGAGGCAGCGACAGGAAGGACAGGAGGCTCGAGCACCATCAAGGACAGCTGGCAGCAGCGGGGGTGTGAGCCCGAGACTTGAATTCAGGATGGGTCTGACCCAGTCCTGCTGACAGGGGCACAGCCGGGGCGCAGCAAGCAAGGCGCTGAAGTGTCTGCACAGCCAGGGGGCTGTGGAACCAGGCTATGGGTTTGGGCATCTGTCCCAGCCTGACATCCCAGCACCTGCAGGTGCCAGCAACTGTGGCCTGGTCTGGCCCTGAGGACAGGCAGCATCCATGTAAAAGGCTAGTGACAGGACAGGCCTCGTCCCCAGAGTAGAGACCTTCCTCCTCTCTCCCTCCATCTCCCAGTCTTGCCGATGTCCTCTCGCCAGCTTTCAGTGCCCCTGCCCCCCACATGAGGCCCTGGAAGCCCAGGGTGCATGACAGGCGGCTTCTCCATGAATCGGGGGCATGCTCCTTTCTTTCTCTAGGACAGCAAGACAGGACTTTGGAGGACTTCACCAAACTCAAGACTTGATTCCATAAAAAACACTATCCCTAAACTATCTCCTGGACAGAAACCATGAAGAACCAAAGGATCGTGGGTGCAGGTTAGGAAGTAACCTTGCACATCAAGGAAAAGCAGGTCAGACCTTGGAAGTGACCAGGCTGAGCCATGGCGGTTCTTTCCAGATGCAATCTCATGGATTTCTGGGTCAGGAGGATTTGTCTTCCGTTGCGCCTCATTCGGAAGGGAGCCACCCAGGGAAAGCCGGCACCGTGCAGCCCCTTGTGCTGAGCTCCTAGTGCTAGGAGGCCACCTCGCTTCCATACACGGGCCCTGCAGAAGGGAGTCTCTGGACCCCTCCCCAAAACACAGATTTCCAAACCAGTGCATGCCTCCCTCGAGGCTGGAAGCAATGCTGGCTGTCTTTTGTGCACTGGATCTTTCATTACAAAAGGAATGTGCATGCAGTGAAGAAACCCGGGAAAACGTGGAAGGGATAACGATTCTTTCTCTGCCCACCTTCAGATGGCCACTCTGCACATGATGATGTGTTTCCTTCTAGTCTTTTTTCCCCCATGGTTTTGTAGAGTTGAGATCCTAAATAATATAGAATTTCACCCTCAGCTGTTTGCTAAATGAAACCTGTTTTCCTAAGCATTTTCTCCTAACCTTAGAGATTCTTCACAGACACAGTTATTAGAGTGTCCCCCTACCCCCACCTAGAATGTCAGTTCCAATGGCAGTTTGTTCTTGTCCACTGCTAAATCCCAGGGCCTGGGGCAGTGCAGGTTCATAGCAGGCATTTAGTAAATATTAGGCACATAGTAGGCATTTCATAAATATGTGCTGAATAAACGAATGATTGAATGGCTGACATATTCTGTCACTGCCCACAGTTAGGTGGTTTCTAACTGTCGCTGTTATGGCAACGCCAAGGTGAACATCTCCATGGCTACGTTGTTGCCCACTCTTGGGTTAGGAGAAGAACCGTGTGTCTCTGTCCACATGCCAGGACCTGCGCTGAACAAGGCGGAGGCTGGCTCTGCTGTACCCGCTCCTTGACCCTGGACAGTTGCTTTTCCTCCTCTAGGCCTCAGTTTCCCCTCTGTGAGGGTGGGTGGATTTGGGCTAGAACACCTGCAGATCCCTCCTAGCTCCATAATCCTAACACAGCGGCCAGGGAGGCAGAAGACAGCTGAGATGGCCAGCCAGGCACCCCCTGCTGGCTCTGCACTCGTGTTAGGGGCTAAATTGTGTCCCTCCAAAATCATATGTGAAATCTGAGCCCCCAGTACTGCAAAATGTGACTGTGTGTGGAGATAGGGCCTTTAAGGAGGTCATTAAGGTTAAATGAGGTCGCTGAGGTGGGCCGTAGTCCAACCTGACACAGACTGGTAGAGAGGGATGACCACACGAAGGCTCAGGGAGAAGACGGCTGCCCACACGCCCAGTGGAGAAGCCTCAGAAGGAACCAACTCTGTCCACACCTTAAGCTCTGACTTCTGGCCTCGAGAATTGCCAGAGAATGAACCTCTCCTCTTTAAGCCCCTGGTCTGCAGTACTTTGTTATGGAAACACACCCTCACGAGCCTCTGGCCACCAGGGGAATCCTACCTGCCAGGCCTGCAGCTGTCCAGGAGGACGTCTGGGCAGAGGGAGCATGGGCCTTGCTCAAGGATCTGGTGCCCCTTGGTGGCAGAGCTGGCACTGGAACGCCCTGCCCCCCTAGCTCGGGCACATCTTGCACCAGCCACTAGCGGACAGACTATGTAGGCTGTAGTGTGACGAAGGTACCGCCACTCCCATCGTCATCTGCTGGGCTCACCGTGTGGGGGCCAGCGCTCAGAGCTAAGGGTATTCCCTCCACACAACTGAGGAAAAGGGGGAAACTGAAGAATGGGGAGCCCCACAGCTAGTGTGCTGGATTCAGACCTAGGCCTGTCTAACACCATCTTCTCCCAACTTGCCACAGTGCTATATATGTGATTCCCCTGGCCACTCAAAATTAACAGGCAACTGCATAGCCTTGATGTCATACCCAAGCTAATTTGGAGGCTCCTGCATTGTCAGACTAAGACGTGCCTACAACTCCAGTGGAGTAGAGGAGGGGGAACATCTGGCCCAGGAGGGTCACACAGGTTGTCTGGGGCTCTGGTCCATCTGGGCAGCTGGAGACTGGACCAGGTGATGCCAGTCATACCTACTGCTGCCGAGCTCTGGAATAATGCCAGCCTTCGTGGTGAGGGCCATAGGGGACCTGTCCTTGGTGTCCTTGTTGACAGTGGAAGCTCCTGACCTGCCAGATATACACAGCAGCCGGATGTTAGAGCCCACGGGCCAGGCACTAGGGGCCACGCTGCCTGCCCTCCCTCCCACCATAGGCGTGGGTGGAAATTACTGCTGTGGCATCACCGGCTGGGGACAGGCTGGGCAGAGGCGACAGGTGGCTGGGAGAGCACACGCACTGCCAGTTCCAGAGGGCTGGATTAATTCAGAGAGCTAAGGTGAACTTGGCCCCCTGGCAGTGCCACCCCTAGCTACCAAGGGCCTACTCTGCGTGTGGCTTCTCGTGTTATACCTTGTCCCCTCCAGGCCACCAGTGCTACTGCTCTTACAGGTCAGCCAAGCTTGGGAAGTTGTCACCAGTGCCTAAGACCACTGGGCAGACACCATGGCACAAGCCCTGGCCTCCTCGCTCCCCACATCTCACAAATGTGGGGGGCAATGCTCCTTCTGAGGGCTCCCCCTGATTACAGGGGGTACAGAGGTACCAATTATGGTCCCAGCAGTATAAAATTACCCTGCGTGCACCCAGCCATTATCCCCATCAGCTATTAGATAAATGTGTCTGGAGGTTCTGCCAAGTCTCGGGGTGCCCTGCTCCCCAGCCACCCCCAGATAACAGGTTGGCCATTTCAGAAATCCTCTTCCGAAGGGTTCCACCTCCAACCGCTTGCCACTGCTCTGAGCCACACTCCAAACGCCTTCTGCAAAGTAGCCCTTCCTTCCTTGGCTGGGAGGGGGAGGGGGCAGTCTTCCCAGGGAGTGGGGTCCCTGGAGACATAGCCCCCCGCGCCAGCTCCCTCCAGGCCTACAGCCCACAGGAAGCTCCCACTAAATGCATCTTCCCTCCCCAGTCAGATTTTCCCCAGGGAAGTTGCTGTCCCCACTGATTTCTGCACCATGGCTAAGGGCCATACTGCAGTCTGTGGTGAGACAGGCTTAGAGGAATGGGCACAGGAGTCAGGGAGCACCGGGTTCGAATCCCCAGTCCCCGAAAGAGCTAAGCAAGTGACTCAAACCCTGTGACCTCGGGTCCACCCTGAAAAATGGGGTGACAGCCTCTCCCTGGCCAGGAATGCAAGGACCAGCCCTTAGTCCGGTGCGGCCAGGAGGCTATCAGAAGCAGTCATCTTCAGGAGGCCTCCAGAGGCTCACCGGCCAAGGCCCCCAGTCCTACGTCTCAGTTTCCCCAACAGCACAAGGCGCGGCTGGGCTGGGCGACGTGGGATTTTCAAGCAATGCACAGAGGCTGTCAGATCCCAGAGGGAGGGTGCTGCGGGAGAAGCAGGGGTGCGACACCCAGGGGCAGGGGCTGGAGAGGCGATGCGCGCAGATGGGGCCGGGCCAGGTCTGACACACATGCGACTCGGGGTCCCCAAATGTGCGCGGAGAGCCCCAAGCGCCCAGGGTCGGCCTGACACCCTCATCCAGGTTGCGGGAGCCGCGCAAGGGCGGCGCCCCCTGCTGCAAAGCCCCGCCTGTCATCTCACCTCTCCGGGCTGGGGCTGGGGTGGCCTGGGCCCTTCGCCCAGACCCTAGGCCCCTCGCCTAGACCCGGGTCGCCTTCTAAAGCCTGGGGCAACCCCGACCCCGTGAGAAGCAGAGAAGGGGCGCTTTCCAGATAGCCCAGCGCTGCCAAGCCGGCTTGTCGCCGAGGGCAGCGATCCCCGCCGGCCACTGAGCTGCGCGCCCCGGCTTAGGGGTAGGGGGCTGCGCGCCGGCCCCTCACGGCTGCAAAACCCTGTAGCAAAAGTTGGGTGGAGCCACCGGACGATTTTCCCCCGTGTTGCAGGTGCAGCCTCGGAATGCCACCCAGCCTTTGCCGCGCAGCCATCCTGCTCAGGGACCCGCCAGTCCCTCGGTGCCCAGCACTCACCTGCGCTCATGTCGGCAGCCGCTCGGAGTCAGGGCTGTCGGGCGCTGCGGCAGCCAGACGCTCGCGGCAGGCAGGTGCCGCGCCCGCGCGATCCTCCGCCCGCCGCCCCGCCCCGCGCGCCCGCCGGCTCCGCGCCTCCAGGCAGCGGCCGCCGCAGCCCCTGGGCGCGCAGGCCCCGCCCACGGCACGCCCACGGCACGCCCCCTCGGGTAGCCCCGCCCCGCCCGAGCCGCCGGCCGGGCGCACCCTGGGAAGTGTAGGCGCCGCGTCCCCGCCGCACCACGTTTGCACCCCAGCCGCCGGTGAGCGGACTACAAGTCCCAGCAGGCTCCGCGGCCTGCGCGTGCGCAGATGGGCAACAGCGGCCGAGGCCATTGGCAATGCCTCTTAGCTTTCTGCAGAACGGTCGCCTAGGTCTGGGGCGAAGCCTGATGGGGGGTCACTGTTCTCGGGAGCCCGGGAGTCACGAGGAGAGCGGTGCAGGGAAAAGCGAGCTTGGTGCAGCACTTCTTCAGTCGTGGTGTTGCAACGGGCCTGGAGACCTTCAGGACCTGCAGCCCCCTCTTCTCTCCCAGTTTACCGAGAGCGAAACTGAGGCTGGAGGCGGGGAGGCTGGAGGATGTGCCTGGCATGCCTCAGCGAGGCTTGGACTAGCTGGGATTCGTGCGCAGGTGTCCTGTCTCCAGGGATAGGGTGTCCCGCCTCTGGCCCGCCCCAGCCCCCAGTCGCTCTGGCCTGGCTGGGCCGCCTGGAGGAGGGGGCGCGTCCTACCCCAGCGCAGTCGCGCCCCAGCCCCCACAGCGGCTGACTCCCTTCGGTGACGTCAGGCTCCCGGCTGAGGCGTGGATGTGGGAACAGGAGAGAGCCTCAGGGAATAGGCGGGAGCAGGTGGCCCCCAATGTGCGTAGCTGCAGAGAGGCGGGCAGGAGACAGGCCTGCGCGAGCCTGGAGCGCGGTGCGAAGGCCTGGCCTGGAGGAGCATTTAGGAGGCAGAGGGGCGGGAACCTGGCCCTGCATGCAGAGAGAGGGGCCAAGGACTATTGGCTTGGGCCAGGGCTGTTTGGAGAAGCTACCAACAAGGGAAAGAGGCCCGGGCACGGACATGTGGACTCTGAACGGAATAGTGAGACAGGAGCACATATTCCTCCCTTGCCCCCAGCAGTGTCCATCTATCTACTCCTAAGAGTTTCTAGGACCAGAGGCCAGGAGCGCGGGCCTGGCACGGCACGCCCCTTCGGGTAGCCCCGCCCCGCCCCGAGCCGGCGGCCGGCGCACCCTGGGAAGTGTAGGCGCCCCTTCTGAGAGTGTCCTAAGCACTATTATGGGATGCGGGTTGTTCCAGTGATGTTGAGAGAGCAGCCTCAGATCCGTGGGATGGGGGTCAGGTCTTCTTGAGCCAAACTGCTTCCTGTGGGCACCAGATTATAAATTTGGGGTCCATTCCTGGCGACTTGAAGGGGGTCATAAAAAAAAGGAATTAAATGCAAAATGTGCTTTCCCAAATGTCTGTTGAATATATACAACGAACCACTCAGTTGAAAAGTTCAGCCAGTGGTGGTGTGTCTGGGAATGTTTTTTCTGCATGGGCTGGGCTGGGTGAGGCTTCCTAAAATATGAGTCCTGTGACCCATGGGTAAAGACTCTTTGTTTCCATGATAAATGCCTCTGTGACAAGCACAGGCACCTGTCACTACTCTGCAGCCTTCAAATTGCTTCAGAATTAGGGTCATTTGTCCTGAAAATGCTCTTGCCCTTTGGAGAGCACGAAGGTCTTGGAGAATGTAGTGTAGGCTGAGTGGGGTGTCAGCTGGCGTGGCCCCTGGAGTGCCAAGGTCATGGGCTGGGGCATGTTGGGTTTCTTGAGGCTGGGACAGGAGGGCCAGGACAGAGGGTGGCCAGGGACCGGTGGGCTGGAGGCTGCTTGTATGGGACAGAAGAGCCTCAATGGAAGGGTCCTGTCTAGGCCTCAGTGGATGGACTCCACACTGGAGCTGGCTCAGAGGTGGAGGGGGTGAGGATGAGTATGAAAGCACACTGGAGGGGGACCCTCAGGGGCCAAACCAGGTAAAGCAAGTAGTCTCGACCAGGGCTGCCATGTCCTGGGACTGCTCTGTGCCAAACCTCATATTTTATAAATGTCATTTCAGAGGGCTCCATGATCATCACCATCATCCCCATTTTACACATGGGAAAACTGAGGCATTAGCTCACCCACTTGTAAACTGTGTCCAAGTGGAGCATGTAGGATGCTCACACAGGCCCTTCTGAAGAGGAGCCGGTGGGCTCTGGCACCTGGCTGAATGTCCTGAATCTGTCATCCCTGCAAGGGATGTGGGGAGGCCAATGACGAGGCTGAGTCATGGGCCAATCATGAGGTGCATGGCCAGGGGAACCTGCCCCCGGGACCCAACCCACACGGGGCCCTGTGACCCCGGGCTGCTGGGAATGCCCCGTCTTCTCCTGGACAGCCCAAACTCGCCCGCTGGACTCGGGCTGAGACTCCCTCCTAGGAGAAGCCTCCCTGGCCCTGCGTTCCCCAGGCTGGTCTGTCACCACCATGTCGTTCCCCTCTCGAGTTTTGTTCCTGTCTGGCTCCCTCACAGATGCCAGGCCTCCTAGGCAAGGCTCCACCTGGCTACCCCCGGGGACTCCCACACATCCTGGGGGTTTCTGAGCACCTTGGGGTTCCCAGCGCAGAGGGGAGGAGCCCGGACCACAAGCTCAGCCCACGTCTGCGCCGCAGTCCTGTGGAATCCCCCACGCGGCAAAGGAGAGAGGTCAGACCCGCCCCAGCCCCTTCCCTCGTCCCTGACCTGTGCCCGGGTTTGCCAGGGCTTCCTAAATTGCTTCCGTGGAGAGCAGCAGTGTGGCTGGGCTCACTGGGGGCCTGGTCTACAGAGGAGGTGTCCCTTTGGACACCTGGCTGCACACAGTCCTGCAAGTCAAAGGCACGTGGCAAGCAGCAGCTGTGTCCAGAGGCCGGTAGCCCCGCTCGATAAAGGAACCGCCCGGCGTTTTCTCACCAAAGCTGCAGGTGGCTTTGTCCTTCCTTCACCTCCAAACACGGCCCAGGAATTGATTTACTTTACAGCCAAAGGGAGAAACAAATGAAATATGATTTCACTGTGGGATCTTTCCAACTGCTCAATAATTTAAAATCCTGCCATGTGAAACCAGGAGTAAAAATAGCATGTGACTCGCGCTCAGAGCCTGCCTCTCACACCCAGACCCACACACCTGCACTGCTCGCCCTCACACACCTGCGCTCGCCCTCGCACCCTCCGCTCGCCCCCGCACGCCTGTGCTCGCCCCCGCACCCTCCACTCGCCCTCGCACACCTGTGCTCGCCCCCGCACGCCTGTGCTCGCCCCCGCACCCTCCACTCGCCCTCGCACACCTGTGCTCGCCCCCGCACCCTCCACTCGCCCTCGCACACCTGTGCTCGCCCCCGCACCCTCCACTCGCCCTCGCACACCTGTGCTCGCCCTCGCACACCTGTGCTCGCCCCCGCACCCTCCGCTCGCCCCCGCACACCTGTGCTCGCCCTCACACACCTGTGCTCGCCCTCACACGCTCCCCTCGCCCCTGCACCCTCCCGTCGCCCGCACACCTGTGCTCGCCCCCGCACACCTGTGCTCGCCCTCACACACCTGTGCTCGCCCTCACACGCTCCCCTAGCCCCTGCACCCTCCGCTCGCCCCCGCACACCTGTGCTCGCCCTCACACGCTCCCCTCGCCCCTGCACCCTCCGCTCGCCCCCGCACACCTGTGCTCGCCCCCGCACCCTCCGCTCGCCCCCGCACCCTCCGCTCGCCCAGTCCTCCAGGCGGTCAGGAGGCCGCTGCCCTGGGTCACACGTGCACTGCTCCTCTCTAGCGGCCCAGTCTGGGCCGCCGTTGCAACTGCCCGCGCAACTCTGAGTGGTGTGCAGACCTGTGTTTTGCCATCACAGAGGATCACGAGTGACGGTTCGTCACATTGCGGGAATGAAGTGGAATAAATAGGCCTGATCCAGAAGTGACTCACCCCGCACGAGGCTGGGATTTGGCCGGCATCAGAGCCCTTCTCTACTCACGCCCCGCTCCTGAGCAGCGGAAACAGACGGGGAGAGCGAGGAGCACGTGAGAGGAGCAGAGAGTGGGGAGGAGAGCAGGCAGCAAGATGATGCACTGCATTTAGTGAGTGCCTGCTGTATACTGGCCCTGCACTGGAAACAGGGATGAAGAGCACCTGGAGCAGGCAGGCGCGTTGGTCAGCTAGGGCTGCGTAACTTCTGCAAGCCCTCTCTTCTGGGCTTGCAGAAGTGTCACCTCGATCTCTGCCTTCTTCTTCATGTGGTTGCTCCCTGTGTGTCTCAGTGTCCAAATGTCCTCTTTCTGTAAGGACTCCAGTCGTTTCGGATTAGGGCCCACCCTAATGACCTCATCTTAGTGAATTGCACCTGCAACGACGCTATTTTCAAATAAGGTCACATTCTGAGGTCCTGGGGTTAGAACTGAACATGTGAATTTGGGCAGGGAGACACAATTCAGCCCATTACAGCAGCGACAGGTATGGAGAGAGGTCACTTCAGGATGATGTGTGGGTGTGTAGTGGGTCCACAGAGTGGCATTTTGGCTGTCCTGGAAGGGGAGGGTGGCCCTGGCCTGAACCAGGGACATTGGAAGGGCCCAGGCTGGGTGCAGGGGAGGCCCTAGGAGGCCCAGAAAGCACATGCGCCCACACCCAAGCCACCAGGACAGGGTAGAGGCAGCTGGGGCCCTGTGTGGGAAGCCTGTGGTAAGAGGGAAGGCCGATGCTTGTCCTCAGGGCACCACAGAGCCCCAGAAGCTTTAAGCAGGGGCGAGACATGGCCAGCTTTGCATCTTGGAAATATCACTCTCCAGCACCTCAGGCAGAGGAGGCAGACCCTAGCAGGGGGCTGACACGAGGTGAGGACAAGGCCAGGCCAGGCCAGAGGGGGGAAGGGACAGGGAAGGATTGGGGGAGTGAATGTCTAGAAAGCACAGGTGTCAGGGCTTGGTGCCTGGACGTGGAGAGCCAAGGAGGGCCAGAGTTGAGGGCCCAGGTCCTGGGACTCCCTGCCCAGAGGGCGCAGGAGC